GAATATTCCATCCTAACCCTAAATGAAAGGAACCCAGCCACCCTTGCTCGAGGGTCACGGCTTTGGAAGTTATTTCCCGTGATCTCCTTCTCTGCTGCAAATAAAGTTTTTTTTGTGTGCTAACTCACCTGGTGGAGTTTCTATGTGTGACTCACCAAGGAGGGAACTCACGTCAGTTTGGTCACCAGCGGTCAAGGAACAAGCAGTGGTGGATCAGTGATGGGGCCCCAGGGGCAACCAGCCTCCATCTCTGGATCTTTTACATCTTTGGAGCCATGGCTCGTGGGAGACACTGGGGAGAATGGATCAGGACAAGCCTGTGTTCTTGGACCAGAATCTCACAGAGGGGTATGGGGGAAGCATGTCCCCCCAGAGAAGGCCACGTGGCTTGCTCTGGGGCAGGCCCCACAAAGCATGTCGCCCGGCAAACGAGACCAGCCCACTGATGGGAGATACTAGAACTTCACAGAGACAGTCATCTTTCCAGAGATGCATTCCTGATCCACTGGCAACAGCCGTTGTGGTATGCCAAATAAAATGGTCACAAATTCCTCGGCACTCCCGCTACAAGGTAGCTCTACTGCTCTCCACTCTTCCCTGCTTGAATCTGGGCTTGCCTGGTGGCTTGTTTTGATCAGTTAAACTTGGTAGGCGTTACAGCACATGAACCCCAAGCATCCAGGGACCTGGCAGCTTCCACTCTTGAGAACATTTCCATCACGGTGCAAATAAGGAGAAGCTAGCTCCCTGGAGGGTGGAAAGAGGTTCTAGCTGGGGTGCCAGACATGGTAGGCCCTCCAGGCCAGCCCAGACCAGAAGACCCTCCCAAGCCAACGCTCAAACATGCAGGAAACATTTGATATTTACTGTTTGAAGTTACAAGGTTTTAGAGTGGTCTGTTACTTAACAAAATCCACTGACAGGGTTGTAGAGGACAGGGTACCTGGAAGCTGAATACAAATGACTCAAAAAAATATACTGAATTCTAACTCCTCCTAAAAGGTATGCGTTAGTGGGTAACATCATTCAAAAAGTACTCCATCCAACTCGGGGTACGTGGCAGCAATGTGATTCTGCAATTTCTGGTGACTCCGACAGGCTTACCAAAATATCAACCTGCAGGGAAGTGAAGATGATGATTCCATCTGATGAACAGAAGCAACTATAGGGGCCAAGGGCAGGCCTCCCCAAGATGGGCCACTGTGGCATGAACGCTATTTTGAGTTAAAAGCAATAAAAACCCAGCAGATTCAGGAAAAGCTCTTCACCGCCCCCCCCACCCCCCAACTAACTGTCTGCACCAGGAAGAGAACTATTAACAAAGACTCTTCACCTGAGACACTTATCTGCACGACAGTCAACCCCTATTCCCAGACATCTCCTCTCCCCTTCCTGTCCCAGACCCAACCCCCCTCCTGAGCTCATATAAGCATCGTGCTGCCTGTGTTAGGAATTTCCATCTCTGTGGATTCCCTATACATATGCTATTAAGTTGGATGTTTGCCGGTTGATCTGTCTCATGTCAATCTGATTCTTGGTCTAGCCAAACAGATCTGGAAGGGCAGAGAAAATTCTTCCTCCCCAACACAATAATCTCAACCTACTCAACTCTGACAAGTTCTAAATATGGTGAAACCTTTACAAAATGCCACTTCTGAATGCTGACGAATAAAGCAATCCAGACACTTAGCGATGGCGTGTATATCAGAGAAGGGCTATGTGTTATTTACGACTCCACAATAAATATGTGCTTTCTTCTTTTTTGGGCCTAGTTTTAGTTGATAAAGACTATTAGGCAGGATAAAAAAAGATGCTCTGAAAGTAAGCTCTGAATAGCTCAGTTCTTTGTGTTCTTTTCTCTCCTCTCCTCTCCTCTCCTCCCCTCCCCTCCGTTCTTTCTTTTGAACATTCTGAGAGTGTTATAAGCCCAGACCATAGTGGGTGTGTCTATCAGAAGACGGCTAGACGGTGGAACTCTTGAGAGCACTGGCTGGAGAAGATCTGGGAGTCCAGCTGGCCCTGCACACCTTTAGCCCATTTCCTGCAGGTGACTCATCAAAGAGCACCACGCGGGGCTGGGAAATGCTGCCAAAGAGAGCCCACAGCCAGCCCCTAGCTCTCCAGCATTCAAAGGTAGCCTGTTTTGGACTACCTTCCCAGCAAAGGCTGCCTCTGGCAACACGGGAGTGACCCGGGAAGCTGGACAGACAGGTCCTACCAGTTTCAATTACTACCGCCCTGATGAAATGCTACTCAATTTCCTCCTCAGGTAAGACCTTAAAAGGAGTGTTCGGGGTCCTCTGAATTCAGATACTATGAATCTAGGCACTAGACGCTTACCATCAAACACTCAAGCAGGAGAGGCAAGAGAGGCTGGTGTGCCTGGGACCCCAGGCAAGAGGACTGGGGTACAGCCCTGACCTCCAGCTCCCCACCACTGACCCCCTCCCTCACTCCCTCCTCCCCTTCCCATGCAATGCGTTCTGAATTAGGCACCACCAGAGCCCCCAAGAAGTTTCCTCTAGGGTCATCACAGCCTGGCCCCCAGCTCAGTAATCTTAGTTTCTGTGTAGCATCCTGACTTCTTGACAGAAATCTCTAAGCACAAATAAGCCTCCTGCTAAAGTTTAAATTCATTCTCGTCCTTCCTTTTGTGACATTAAGAGCAGAAAAAACTTCTAAAGATACTACTTTAAACCATTATGAAAAAATTAGAAAAGAGAGACTATCTTTGTGCATTACATATAAAATAAATAATTTTAAAAAGCACACTCATTCTAACACCATTTAGAAAATCAGTGTTTTCTAAAGTATTGTGTGGGTATAGGGGCGCCCGGGTGGCGCAGTCGGTTAAGCGTCCGACTTCAGCCAGGTCACGATCTCGCGGTCCGTGAGTTCGAGCCCCGCGTCGGGCTCTGGGCTGATGGCTCGGAGCCTGGAGCCTGTTTCCGATTCTGTGTCTCCCTCTCTCTCTGCCCCTTCCCCGTTCATGCTCTGTCTCTCTCTGTCCCAAAAATAAATAAACGTTGAAAAAAAAAATTAAAAAAAAAAAATAAAAAAAAAAATAAAGTATTATGTGGGTCTAAAAAGTATTGATTAGATACATATATACACACATACACTTTTATGATACATTTACACATTTTTGCTATATTCACTTGTTTTTGCCAACATTATCAGTGCAATCTATTGTTAGGAAATTTTCAAAATAAAAACGTTAGTATGTTTTCTGTATCTGTTGATACAGAAAAACAAATTGAATGTTACTGTGCACCACCACCTGTGTGCCAGGCTCTTTGCACGCGTCCTTGCCACAGCCCCTGAGAAGAGGGGACTACAATCACCGCCATGTTTCAGAGAGGAGCTGACACACAGTGGGCAGATCTGGATGGGTCCAGTCCGTGCTCCACAGCAGTCAGCCAGCCTCTCTGAAGAACAGAAGGGCCATGTTGTATCAGAATTTCAAAGGAAAGACAGGAGAATATCACTTTTCAAATAAAAGGAGAAACTCAGAATCACTGTTTCCAAGGATCTTAGTGTTACCAACACCACCCTTGGTCAGCTTGATAAATAGGCCAAGTCTGATCAGCAAAATGGAATGTGGTTCATCATACTTGACTTTTAGAAAGTATAAGGAAATATGCCTCCAAATATCACTACTTACCTCAATGTCAAATATTTCCATGCTGTTGTCCAGCAGCTTCACTCGGAGGTGAAGGTGCTTCTCCTGTGTTCTGGCTGATGCCCGTGCTGCGGTTGCCAAGAGGTTCTGCCCAGGTTCGAGGGTGCTCACTCCCCCTGGGGTCTGGGCGCCCAAGCGTGTCCCTGGAGTCTGCAAGACTCTGTATGTTCCTTCTATCTCCCCCATTCTTCATCAGCTAAGAATGAAGAGCACTCTAAAACAAAACAAAAAACCCCAAAGAGTCACTGAAAGTCATTTAATGTTTGTTTATTTTTGAGACAATGTGAGAGACAGAGTGCAAGCAGTGGAGGGGCAGACGGAGGGAGACACAGAATCTGAAGTGGGCTCCAGGCTCTGAGCTGTCAGCCCAGAGCCTGACGTGGGGCTGGAACTCATGAACTGTGAGATCATGACCTGAGCCGAAGTCGGATGCTCAACCGACTGAGCCACTCAGGCGCCCCCAAAGTTATTTAGATATTAAAAAAAAAATCAGGTGCCCAGGAATTCTCTGCTCTAATTTTGCAACTTCTAGGTGTCTTAAGTTACATTAAAGCAAAGAGTTAAACAAGATTACCTTCTACTCATACATGGATCGGTGGATCACAAAATAACAAGCACTGTTCACAAAGACACTATTTCCTGGTGCTTCTGCAAGCCAGGCAATGCATCCTCTCATGTAACTCACAAGACCTCATCCAACAGTGGCCTGTGCCTTCGTCTGGCCGCCTGGAGTCCCCTGGTACATCCTCTGGGCTCCAGCAGCCCAGAGAGTTGCTGTGCTGATGGTACACTGTTAAATGCCAGATGGTACATTTCAGCAAAGAGGAGCAGGTGCCACACAGCAAGTGCAGTGCACGACGGGCACCATTCAGTAGGCCACTCCCTGTGCTGGGTGAGGACAGTCAGGTGAGGACAGCCCAGGTTGGTCTGGGCCGGGTTCAGGCTTCCCAGTTTTGTAAGTGGTGTCTTACCAGGCTGGATGGAGGCCATCAGAGTGACATGAGGGCTGTGTGCCTGATGTGAGGGGCACTGGCCCCAGGCCAGGCCGTTCCCAGCACCACTTACCTGTTCTCACGATGTTCTTGCACCCACTGCCTGCTAAGCAGACACCAGCACACAAGCGATGCCCTCCGCCCTTTCCAGTCCTCCATGGCATGCCATGGAAACTTCTCTAGCTTCAAGCTAGAAAGCTGAACAGGGTTAATCACGTCATTGTTTTTACAAAGAAAGAAGAGGCTGAGTATCAGCTAGAATCTAATAATACCAGCTTGCTTTCCTTTGTATTAATCTAGCTACTCTCTATTTATGACAAATTTACTTCTTAAATATGTGTATTTATGTTTGAAAGTCAGCTTAAAGAAAAATCTTGATCAGTGAAGCACAGTATGACAAAAAACAAATTCGAGACGTTTACTCAAGAAAGAGCAGATGGGAATGCAAGCTGGTGCAGGCACTCTGGAAAACAGAATGGAGGTTCCTCAAAAAACTAAAAATAGAACTACCCTATGACCCAGCAATTGCACTACTAGGCATTTATCCACAGGATACAGGTGTGCTGTTTCGAAGGGACACAGGCACTCCCATGTTTATAGCAGCACTATCGACAAGAGCCAAAGTATGGAAAGAGCCCAAATGTCCATCGATGGATGAATGGATAAAGAAGATGTGGTATATATATACAATGGAGTTCTACTCTGTAATCAAAAAGAATGAAATCTTGCCATTTGCAACTACGTGGATGGAACTAGAGGGTATTATGCTAAGTGAAATTAGTCAGTCAGAGAAAGACAAAAATCATATGGCTTCACTCATATGAGGACTTTAAGACACAGAACAGATGAACATAAGGGAAGGGAAGCAAGAATAATATAAAAACAGGGAGAGGGACAAAACAGAAGAGACTCTTAAATACGGAGAACAAACAGGGTTACTGGAGGGGTTGTGGGAGGGGGGATGGGCTCAATGGGGAAGGGGCACTAAGGAATCTACTCCTGAAATCATTGTTGCACTATATGCTAAGTAGGATGTAAATTTTAAAAAATAAAAAAGTAAATTAAAAAAAAAAAGAAAGAGTGGAGCTGCTGGGAAAACTACCTCACTCCCTTACCTCTGACAAGCATTCTACTAATGTGCGGTAAATTTCTTAGAGAATTAATCTAAATTTCCGGTCCATTCCCTCATGTGCCAACCTAACTGTTGGCTCCCCTGGCCCTTTCATCCGTTCCATGCTTACTTTGTTATCAAGAAGAACCATTTCATGAAGGTTTTGTCTCTTGAATTAAGTTTAAAAACTTCTCAGTCACCCGCTGAGCCACCTCTACCACACACTTAAACCCTCCCCAGCAAAGACAAGGTCTCCAGCCCACGTGGGCAAGAACTTCCACACACGTGTGATCTGTTGAACAAGCAGGCAAAGCACAAGAAAGCTAAAACCTCCCGGGACAGTGAACCAAGAACGGTATGAGCAAAGTGACAAGGTGGTGTCACTTTGCCAAATACACCTCCCGCCCCCACTCTTGCACAAGGACGGACTGCCCCTCGTGGACAGGCACAGGTCTGGTTCAGGTTAGCAGTTACCCACCATATTCGAATCCCCTCTCCGGGTTGTATGCACCCTGACAGCAGGAACTAAATTCTTACTGTGAATGTTTGCTAAGTATTTATTTAATTCACAGCAGTGTCATCAAGGAACATGAACTGTCTCGTCAGGCAATGCACCATACAGGCCTGAGCAGCGAAAGACAGACTATGGTCACAAACAGAAAACACTGGAAAATCACTAATATTCATGCCACTAATATTAAATGTGGGATGAGATTCTGAGAACCAGAAGGATGAGCTTTTTCAATTTCACCGATGTGAGTAGTTAATGCAAAATTGATGGGATGTGAACAAAGAAGACACCACCTGTAAGGCGTCTCTAATGTGCACACAGAGGAGAACAAGTTCTTGGTTAGTTCACAGCATTTACTGACCCTGAGGCACTGAGAGCAGGTCCTTCTGAGAAACTATGGGCCGTTTAATCCTGGGCACCAAAGTGATCCTTCCCTTTTTAAGCTACTGTTCTGAAAATTTCTGTACAACCAAAACATATTTTAACAAGTCACCTATTTATTCCATTATATATTCTCATGTAGACTTTTTCTTTTTTAAATTTTTTAAATGTTTATTTATTCTTGAGAGAGAGAGAGGTGGGGAGAGAGAGAGAGAGAGACAGCAGGAACAGGAGAAGGGCAGAGCAACAGAGGGACACAGAATCTGAAGCAGGCTTCCAGGCTCTGAGCTGTCAGCACAGAGCCCAATGTGGGGCTCAAACTCATGAGCTGTGAGATTATGACCTGAGCTGAAGTCGGACGCTTAACTGATTAAGCCACCCAGGGTTTCCTGATATAGATTTTTTTCTTAATAATTTTAGATGGAAAAAATTTCTTCAGATTATCTTCTACTCATTATAATAAGAGAGTCCTGTCCAGACACATACTTCTAAAACAAAACAGGCAAGACTCACCCCCAGTGTGCTGAGGGGCACATCAGGGTGGGCACACTGTAAGAAGAGTGTGCAAGGAGATTGGTACTAGAAAACTCGCAGTGGTCCATCTTGGTGGGAGGGCTTCTGTCTCCAGGATAAGGTTTCAGAAGGGCCCTCTGGCATGGTCAGCATGGTTACGTCACTTGGTTAGACCATGTTCACTTTATAATCATTAAGCCATATACTCGATTTATGTGTTTTTTCTAGATCTTTGTTTATTTATCTAATAAATAAATTAAAAACAGCATACTTTTAACATTATTTCATCTTTTCTAAGAACAAAAGACCACTTCTTGGTCCATAAGAGATCTGTGCAGGTCTGCATGCCTTTTGAGCAGCAAATGGACATCCTAGTTATTTTCATCTAGTCCAAAGACCTCAATGTAGCTTAAGCTAAGACTCGGGGTCATCAGACACTCTTGTTCTGGAAGGTCATTGAGGAAATGGCCCCGAAGTACCCTACTGCTTATGTTCTAAAGAAAAATACAGTTGCTATCACATAACGGTATGTGGCATAAATTACACGTTTAATATTTACTTGGCTTCAAAGTTTAAGAAATCTTAGAAAAATGAGGAACTTAACAGAAAACGGGCACAGAACCCCGATGCTGCCCTCAGAGACTACCCATCTGCCCCAGAACAAACGGCGTAACCGGACCCCTGCAGAAACGCGAGGCCACGCTTTCAGCAGTCACGTGCCCCGCCCACTGCCTCCTCCAGCTGACCGCGGGAGAAAACGAAAGGAAAAACGTATGCGCTGAATGAATCTGTTTTACATCAATTACGACCTAACAGAAATTACTTTGTTTTGCCTTGTGCGCTTCTAAATAAACATTTAAAGGGCAAGAGTATGCAAGACAGATGAGAAACACAGCAAGGCCACGTGAGCTGTTCTTCGGTCCTGGGAGCCCTAAATGTTAGATGTTAGCCCCTGCTCACTTCTCCTGCTTCCAGAGAGCCTCCCAGAAATCCAGAGGGAAGCAGTGGTGTGAAGAACCAAGGCCCTACACGGGCTCCAGATTTTGTCATCCTCCTCCATGAATGAAATGCTCTGCAGATTTCATTCCTAAAAATATTTCTGGTAGCCGGACACAATTTCCACTACTGACATTTAGCACTACCTACTAGAAAACTCCGTTCCTACCTACATATTTTCATTTAATAAAAAATTTTTTTAATGTTTTTTTAATTTATTTTTGAGAGAGAGAGAGAGAGAGAGAGAGAGAGAGAGAACGCGCGCTCATGAGTAGGGGAGGGGCAGAGAGAGATGGAAACAGAATCCAAAGCAGGCTCCAGGCTCTGAGTTGTCAGCACAGAGCCCGACGTGGGGCTCAAACTCACAAATTGTGAGATCATGACCTGAGCTGAAGTCGGCTGCTTAACTAACTGAGTCACCAAGGCACCCCTAAAATTTTTTTAATTTTCATTTTGAGAGAGACAGAGAGACAACAAGCGAGTGGGAGATGGGGGAGAGAGAGAGAGAGAGAGAGAGAATTCCGAGAAAAACTTTAAAAACCACCTTGTGATATATTTCTATCTCAAAGTTGGAATAATTCAGCTCAAAAGTCTGTCCATTTGGGCGCCTGAGTGGCTTAGTCAGTTAAGTGTCCAACTGATCAGATCTCATAGTTCGTGAGATTGAGCCCTGCATCCGGCT